CTGATTTCCAGGATTCCATTGGGAAAAGAAGCAAATACAGCGGCACTGGAGTTACACGCCCTCAACACAGTATTTCAATTAATTTCGGGTCAACCTTACTTCCACTCCCGTCCTTCGGAGGCGCATGCCGCCGTTTTCGACGTCCTTGATCGTTTCCTCGCGGATACCTCGACATCTATACCGTGGAAAGCAGGTTCTAGTGCATTCAACCCCGATGTATTGTTCCTTTCCGCAATGGACGTCTGTATGAACTGGCATGCCTTGGGACCCAGATCTGTGGAGGCAGTGATCAATGTCATGTTTAACCATTACTACTCCGCCAACACCTTCATTGTCGCCTATGCAGGTAAAACCATAGGAGAGGCGCTTCGCCAAGGCAGCCCGACAGCGTTGAGTGTCTTCCGTACCGCACAATGTTTGGAGTATTTTGGACACCATGGATATCACCCGAAGTTGTTAGACATCATCGAAGGCTACCTTTCCATATTCGACCGAAACTCAAATTCTGGTATTGAAGCTTCGGTAGTACAGGAACACATCAAGTATCTCCACACACCTGACATCCTGTTCGATGTTTCCTCGATCCTAGCCGTCGGTGGCTATTTCTTGACCGATGAGCTACGTAGAGAGGTAATCAAGCGGAATATCTTATCACTCGTTCGTATCCAGCGGGATGCTCCTGTATGGGATGACTGTCGTTACAGGCTCGGACAATTACTCGAAGAAGACGGCATGGACTTCTTCTATCGCCAGACTCGTATCCGTGGAATTAAACGAGTCCCATTGTCAGCAGAACAAATAGCGTATCAAAGAAAATGTATTCGTTTCGCCATCGACACCTTAGATGCGTTTTTCTCTGGCACGCTGGATGATGGATCTGTGAGTGCTAAGTTGCCGTAGTTATTGGAATACATACTTACTCGAGCTAGGAGAATGATCCCAGTGACCATCTTGTGGCGATTCCAGATAATTCACCGACTCAACCTCGGGCAACCTGGCGCGGTCACTTGCATCGATTTTTACCTTGGCACGGTGAGCGAGATGCTAGCGACCACGGTGCTACAGAGGTCGTTTGATTTCATGATGAGCCTCATGTTCGGCATCTCGATAACAAGGGTGGATGGATTAATGGCGAAGCAACGAAGTATAGGCTAGGCGATCGTGATAGGATAGCAAAAAAGTCCGGAAATAGTTACAGCAACTATCGTTGTATTTTGTAGCCAGCACCCGTTGTCCTTCTGCTTCGGTAAAATCCCAATAATCCGTAACAAGCCTGAAGACGCGTCGATTGCTTCCTGCCCCTAACCATTCTTTTCAACGACCACCACGCCTCTTCCACTTCCACCACCGTTTCCGCCCGTTTCTGATAACCTGCACTTTCGTTGTGGTGATGAGGATGAGTCCTGCCGCTGCTATGGCGTTGCGACGGATTCGTTCCTGTTGCTCGCATCTCGTTGGTGGTGATGAGGATGGGTCCTGCCGCCATTCCGGTGTTGCGACGAATCCATTCTTGTTGCTTGCGTCTCCTTGCTGGTGGTGAGGATGGGTCCTGCCGCTGCTCCGGTGTTGCGACAGATTCATTCTTGTTGCTCGCGTCTCCTGTCTCGTTGGGTGGTGAGGATGGAACCTCCCGCCGCTCCGGTGTTCCAACAGATGCATTCTTGTTGCTCGCGTCTCCTTGGTCGTCATGAGCCCTGTCGCTCGCTGCCGTTCACCGGGTCCGTGCACTCATTACTCACATTGTGCATCACTATTTGTTATATCTCACCCTCGTCATTACTTCCAACCCTCGCCATCACTAATATCAATTTCACGGGATGTTTCTCGCTTTTGTCATTTTCTTCGTCGTTCATCATCATCAATATCAATTGGTGGTCCTGTGACGCCAACGTTACGTTCAGGTGATACCATCTTGGCCAATATTTGGGAGCACAGGAGGCCACTCTTTCTTTCACCACTGTCCACATGGATGAGAATACTCCTGCGAATGTCGCCCCTGTCGACACATACTTGGAGGCTCTGAAAAACTTCCCTAAACTTCCCGATGCTCCTGTCCCTGCAGATGAACACACAGCAGATGGTTGGTGTGGTCCCGAGAGCCAACCGGACAACGTTAAGGAACAGGAGGATGTCGTCATAGATCTGGGTCCCCAACGCCATCTGCACTTCATGTCACGCGCCTGTTCGTAGATACGGAGAAGTCGGCGGTTCTCTGTCGCTTCGCTAAGTTTGTTTTTGATATTTTGCGTGTATATAAGGAGGTCCCGGTTCTCCGTTCCTGACAATTGCATCGCTGCCGCACGTGCGATAACCTATATTTTGTACTCTCTACGAACCCCACAAAATGCTCTAACCCGCGAGACACACTCAACAGTGTGATTACAACGGCATGAGTTTTTGTGGCCGCAGCACATGGTTCGCCATGTCAGGGCTGCGGACCCGGCCGTTCCTTATTGGGACCTTGTGCCGGTACCACCACCACCACCACGACTTGTCACGACGCCGGCAAGAGGAGGAGGAAGTTTTCTTCCCTGACGGTGCTGCTCAACAGCAGCATGCCGGCGTACGTACTAAAGAGAGCCTTCAAATCGAGGCTTACTGAACCGCGGCATGATTCGTACATTAAAGAAGCCGATCGGCCCGACGCACTGCTTTTATATCGCGCCTACTTGGCTTCAACCGGAAAGGCTTTAATGCCTATTCCACCCGATTATTATCCTCCTTCTCCGACTGCAAACCGACTGGTCCATACGAGACGCCTATAGCTAGCCACTAAGAAATCTTCCATTACCCCGTCCTGCTTACCTAGCCATTGGTGCTGCTTGTAAGTTGTCGAATCGCCTGTATTTCGGGTGTTGTGGATTGTATGAAAGATCGTTCTCGTGAGGAAGAGCGCGAACGAGTATTCTCGCCGCAGATAGGTCTTCGATAGCTATAGAAGCACCAAACGCCGGAGGTATGCCGAACTGAGATAGAATTATTGAGTAGCAACCTCGTAAACCCATGAGCCTTCTTTGCGAACGCGAATATATGGTCACATTGCCTTTATATCCAGCCTGCTTGGCTTCAAACGGAATGGCTTTAATGCCTATGCTACCCGGTCATTATCCTTCTTCTCCGACTGCAAAACGACTGGTCCGTACGAGACGCCTATAACTAGCCGCTAAGAAATCTTCCATTGCCCCGTCCTGCTTACCTAACCGTTGGTGTTGCTTGTCGTCGCATCGCCTGTGTTTGGGGCGGGTGTTGTCAATGGATCGTTCCCGTGAGGAAGAGCGCGAACGAGTACTCTCGCCGCAGATGGGTCCTCGATAGCTATAGAAGCACCAGACGCCAGAGGCATGCCGAACTGAGATAGAATTATTGAGTAGCAACCCATGAGCCTTCTTTGCGAACGCGAATAAGTATTCGCCCTTTCTACGATGGCTTCGACATCGTCTAATACATCTATTTGCAAGTCCTGGTTCCATCAACAGCGACGACGCAGCAGGATAGGACATACGCCCAAATCTTTTCACCGGAGGTTCGGCGACCTTTTTATAAGAATCAGCGTCGAAGTGTTGTCCTACAGAGCGGGAGGAGTGACGCGCGACGTTCAAATTAGGCTCCTACTGATTGTGAGCAGGTGTCCACGACAATTGACAAAGGTGAAGCGTTTGTCTCACTTATTGCACACAAGGAGTCGAGGAAAACGCGTCGTTTTTATCGAACGTTGTGCTCACCCGTTCATTTCCCCAACCAGACTACCCTGGACAACGTCGCAACCGATATATATACCTCTTGGGCAGCGCGGTAGTACGCAGGACAGGCAGAGCATCTGAGAATGGCATGATGATGATGAGCAGGCGGGCAAAAGGTGGTAGAGAAGAAGCGCGACGTCTTGCCAGCCATAACACGTCGGTAACGAAGAGAGTTTAGAGGAAGCTGAAGTGGATTTCAAAGACGAGGGGCTGGCGAAAACATATCCGTTTCTCTCTACAGCGCAGGAAAGTCTGAGCTCAAAGCCAGTTTACATCTTGGGAACATCTTTATACACTGCATTGAACACATAAGCAGGAACACGAATCACCGCCTCGGTAGAAATGCTGCCCTAACTAACCCTCTCACCCTCCATTCCCAGGCAACGAGATTCACCCTGCGGGTCACCTCGAGTCGTATCGAGTCTTTGGAGTGCAGTATGCAGTGAAGGTACGCAAAGACGAGGGCATCGAGTGGTGTCGGGGCCCTGCCCAGTGTCAGCACCACAGAAGAAACAAGCGCAAAGAACATACTCGGATGACAAGAACCACTTGTCGGTGCCGAGTCTCTCGGAGAGCGCGCCGATGGCCTCACGGTAGCGCGACTGGACGGCCTCGCGGGGAACGCGGGTGCCAAAGGGCGGGAGGAGGGACGTGAGGCCGGAGAGCGGCGCGGGCGGCGGGGCGAGGACGGACTCGATGGCCCGCGTCTTGGTGTCGGCGAGGGAGAAGCGCGCGGGCGGGGGCTGGACGAGGAGCAGCGCAGCGTGCACGCAGCCTTCCAGCAGCGTCACCCACGCCCGGCTCTCGTCGCGCGCCGCCTCGTCCGTGTAGCCTTCCAGCCCGCCGTCGTGGTGGTGGCGGCTGCTGTCCACCCAGACAGGCAGCTCCCGCGCCGCCAACAGCTGCGCGCCGTCCCACAGGTTGGGGAGCTGCCCGGCGAGAGCGCCCTGGGGGTCGACGTCGGTGCGCACGGCGATGTGGCTAACGCCGCGCAGGGCGAGGTAGGCCTGCCATTTGAGGCACTCGACGTCGGAGCTGAGGACGCCGTCGGGCGAGTGCGGAGGGTGGATCCATAGACAGGGGGTTGGGTGTGTCTTGCTTTGGGGAGGGGGGATGGGAGGGTACGTGTGCAGTGGGAACGGAGCGAGCAGCTTTTGGATGATGGCTGGGACTTGCATGGCGCTAAAGCACGAAATTTAGCGAGTTTAGCATCAATTTGATCGCCTATATTGACTCCCACGATCGAGGCTGCCAGGTTATGGGGGCATAGCTCAGCTGGGAGAGCAACAGACTGAAGTGTGCTGTTTTCTGGAGGTCCCCAGTTCAATCCTGGGTGCCCCCATTCATTTTGGTTTTACAGTAGGTTACTTACCAGCAATAAACCTCATGTAACGAAACCTAGGCTTATTCTGTTGAGAGCAATCATCACTGTACCGTGGGCCGTCGCCCGATGGAGTCACAGGTATCAGTCATGGTTCACGCTTTAATAGAGCTCATCTTTGCCTTGTATATTACTTGGCGTGAGCTGAGAATCGCACCCTTAACAGGGAATCCCGCCTGAAGCGTCATTACCTAATATCTTACCTAAGGCCTCTACCTGGCTTACTATACGTCATCTTTGAACAGCTATACATCTTTTCTTCCTTCTTCTTCCTCTTTCCACTCTCTCACGATGGCGGAAGAAATTCAGATAAATGTAAAAGGTCTCTCATACACACATGCTACTCCATGTTCATACCGCTGATTCGCATTGTGCACTAGGACCGGGCGAAATCAAGCTCCAGATAACGATCGCGACAGATAAAACGGTTCTCGAGCTGAAGCAAGCAGTCGCCGAGAAATCTGACGTAGAGGCGGAGCGGCAGAGGCTCATTTATTCCGGTATTTCTCTCGATTTTCCTCACATTTTAGCCTGCTGACAAAATGGGTACTAGGACGTGTCTTGAAGGTGGCGTCAAGGCTCTGCTGTCGCAGACTTGTCTGTGCTCACTGTCTTCTAGGACGAGGATGCTCTTTCCACGTACAAAATCAGCTCTGGACACACGATCCACATGGTGAAAGGAGTGGCGCGGGGGAGTGCGTCTTCGTCAGCGGCGACCCCGCAGCCGCTTCCCACCATGCAGACGGGACAAAACCCCCACGATCCACTAACGCTGCTCAACAGCCACCTCGGATACGGCGCCATGGCGGGCCTCAACCCCTTCGCCGACATGGGCCTCAACCAGAACGACCCCAATATGGTGTGTAGCTGTATTCTGTTTCCGCCCAGTGATTAATGAAGCAGCTCCAAACGATGATGAACTCGCCCGAGTTCCTCCAGCAAATGGCCGGGATGATGTCGAACCCCGCCGTGCTCGACCAAATCATCGCTTCCAATCCCCAGCTGCAGGCTATGGCGCCGCAGGCCAGGGAGATGTTCCAGAGTGAAAGATTCCGCCAGATGCTGTGTGTTCGGCGATCCCTCTCTGCTTTCTGCTGATCGTGACTTTTTTCGATGGGACAGCTCGGACCCTCAGCGGCTGCAACAGATGATGCAGATGGCGTCGATGATGCAGGGCGGTGGCGCGGGTGGATTGGGTGGATTTGGGATGGGCGGGGGTGCGAGCAGTTTCCCTGCGCCGGGCGTGCCAGGCGGCAGTCCATCACCCGCTACTGGAGCAGCAGCAGCAGCAGCCACGGGAGGCGCACCTGGAGCGGGAACGACGCCGCCAAATTTGTTCAATCCCTATGGCGGTCTGTCCACTCCGAATGCACGCCCTCCGTTTTCACTCGATCCTGCATTGACGCGGCAGCTCCTCATGGGCGGCGGACTTGGGGGCGGACTAGGTGGATTTGGTGCTGCACCCACAGCGCCGGCGGACACGAGATCGCCCGAAGAGCGCTTCCAGGTCCAACTGCAGGTACGTGCTCCGTTCCGACAACGTTCGCTGCTAATCCATGCGTGCAACAGCAACTCCAAGACATGGGCTTCACAAACGCCTCGCAGAATGTTCGAGCCCTGTTGGCCACAGGCGGCAACGTGCATTCCGCGATTGAATACATCCTCGGTGGCGGCGGGATATGAATGTAGAACACGGACGTCTTTGTAACCTTTTTTCCAGCGCTGATCGTTGCATGTATTCATGTGTTTTCTCAATGTACCACCTGGCTCGTATATAGTCAATTTGCTGATGTAGAATATGAGACTACTTGTCGATCTTTTTTTAAGATTTACGTTTACGTAGCGAAATATTTTGTCAACCGCGGGAGAAGGGCGTTCCTTAATATAAGAAAAGTGTCGTTTGACTCAAGCGATGTCGTGTCCCTTGTTCGTGTATCTAGATCCACGCCTAAAGCTTTAATTCGGGCATAGCAACTACGTCGTCCTCGACATGTCCTTCGGGTACGGCCCCGACGAAGCTTAGGGTTAAAATCTGGGTTCGGGCCCAGTCTCTAGCGAAAATAGGATAATGTCTATGCCTCGGAGAGAGGATAAGTCCCAATAGCAGCTCTTCCGCATGCGAACATCGTGACTCGTGGCACCATGGGCTGGAAGCTCGCGTAGACGGGGGAACTTCGGAAGTAGGTAAAGCAAAGGCGTCTCGCGGTGAAGTGATAAGGCCTACGACATTGGTTCGCGCATCTACGAAGAGAACTGCCGGATCTGTAGCGGAATCGGATGTTAAAGCGAGTCGGTATATATGGGTCGGTGGAATATATTTGCGAGGTAGATTATTTGTTCTTTAAAACCTCGAGTACGTCCAAAGTAAGCGAAGAACAAGGATGCACCGAAGCTGCAACTATATGCCAAACGATAGGCGGCTGACAATGATTTTGACGAGTTGTAGGCCGCTGAATATATGTTTTTAGACGTCATCACGACAAGGAAGTCAAGCGCTAGATAATTTGTTTCTAATGCATGAAATACTTGACAGCCTTGACTTTCTCGGAATTTACTTAAAAATGCCAGTTGAGAAACCTGGAAGCGTGTAGGGAAACCTTTCGGTACTCCTGGCGTGGATTAGCGAGGTATCTGTACATTCATAGAACTGTGTTCGATTAAAAGAGTTTCCGAGGTGTCGCAGACTAACCTTGCGTCAACAGACAGCTGGAAAGAGACTAGTACATAACACCTCTGAAATCAGGTAGTTTGGCAAGACTGACAGCTCAGAGTACATAACAGAACTTGAAATGGAAGAGGCCGCCGCCGCCGCCGTCTCACCCACATTTAAGGAATACAGTCGGGTCGAAGGCGCAACAAACGACCCCTACCGATCGCGAAAAGTCAGAGTTGTAATTTCGAAATAAACGCACGTGTGAATTTCGGTAAGTATTTTCTTGGCGGCTGCTTGGCATGATCGTAACCGTCGCACCAAAAGGACATCGCTATCTAGTTCTGGCAGACATTGTCATTGCAATTGGTAGCTCACACTTTCTACCATGTGTGCGTATGGCTATCGGAACCTTTGCCACTTGCTGCAGTGTTTTATCAGTGCGTGTTCTGCATATCACGAGGGGTTTCTGGCCGGTCGAGATCCCCACTCATGTCCTTGTCAACAGACATGTACTCATGCACGGATGGCGCGATGGGATACCCTGTGTTCTCTTCGAACGTCTAATCCGGGGATTTTGCGCCGGCCAGGCTGTTCTTTCTGCAGCCCCCTCCTTCGCAGTTCCGGGATAGTCTTCTCTGCAGGAGTCGCTGCTTCTGGCTCTCACGGTGTCCTGACCGACTTTCTAAGCCTCTGGAGGACACAGTAGCGCTATGTTGCCGGTGCAACGGCCCTGTAATCGCTGAAACTGACTTTGGTGTGGTCGTCTCGCTACGGATCGTGCTTCAGACCGGTAGTAGACACCCATCGCGGGCCTTGATTGTGGACCATCAAGCATACAAATCCTGCACTTCTGCGTGCATGGCGTCCGTTCTCGGTGTAACACACACACATGCACAGGACCCTACTGATGGTCAAAAGAAGCCACAAGCAATATGGTGCTCGCGTCGCGATATGAAACTGCTTTGGTCTTATCTCGGCGTGCTGGTCGACCTGCGCGTATAAAGGTCGGAGAAAAATGAGGAAGGCGTTCTTCACCGGTCTACTGGGTTGTTGATTGTAGCCATGTTCTCCCTCTCCGTTCGCTCCTTCTTGTACACCCTCTGCCTCTCCGCGGCCGCTGTATCCGCCGCCCCAGGACTTTCCCTCTCACTTTCCGGTATTACACTCTATTAGAGTCTGTACAACAGACTGTCCTGACGCCCATCGTAGGTGCCGATTCGGTGGTCGATGTCGAGAATCTCAGTGTGGCCGCAACACTCACCAACACCGGCGACACGACAATGAAGATCCTCAACGACCCTTCCAGCATCCTGTCGTCGAAATTCGCCACCCACACTTTCGACATCAGCAGCGATAGCGGATCCCCCGCTTTCACTGGTGTCAAGGTCAAGTACGATCCTGACTACGTCGTGAAGAAGAACGCGGATTCTTCCTTTACGGTCCTCGCGCCTGGTGAATCCGTCACCGTCAGCCATGCCTGTGCGTTTTTTCTTTCTTTTCGTGACTTCAAGGATAATAAGTACTAATCACTCCTTAGTGGGCGCTGCCTACAACTTCACTGGCTCCGGCGCGGCTTCATATAGCATCCAGCCTTCTAGTCTCTTCTACTATGTCGATCCCGACACCAGTGAGCTCGCCAGCATCACCGCCGACACGCAGCAGCACACCGCCAAGATCAGCGGCACGCTCGCGGTCGCCCGCCGCTCCAACCTCGGCAAGAGGATCAGCTACAACGGCTGCACGTCCTCCAGGCAGACCACCCTCGTTTCTGCCGCTGCAGCAGCCCAGACCTACGCGCAAGCCTCTTATGAGTAAGCGTCACATTTTTCACATCGTTTCTTCTTCGCCGATACCATGTCAATACATAGCTACCTCTCGTCGCACACGGCCACCACCACGCGCTACGTCACCTGGTTCGGAACCTACACCAGCGCGCGCCACTCCACCGTCCTCTCGCACTACTCCAACATGCTCGCCCACCCCTACGCCAACTACGAATACGACTGCACGTGCACCGAGTCCGACGTCTACGCCTATGTTTACCCTTCTCAGTACGGTCGCTATCTGCGCATACGGCGATCTGCGGCTGATGATCTCCATATAGGTTCGGAACTATCTATCTCTGCGGCGTTTTCTGGCAGACCACGACTACTGGGACCGACTCCAGGGTAATATCGCCTTTACGTTGTTCTTTTCCGACGACACACAGCTGATGCGCTTCTTAGGGTGGAACGTTGATCCACGAGTCCTCGCACTTCACGATCATCGGGAGCACCCAAGACTATGTGTACGGACAGACCTCAGCCAA